CCTTAATATCAGAACTTTTCCTTTCAATTTTTCCTAATGTACAGTTCTGAATATAATTTCCATTAGGAACCTTTAAAGAAAGCATACTTCTTCCTGATAGAATTCTTTGAAATATTACCATGCCAGATTTTTCAAAATATCTATTTGCCCAATGTAATCTGTTTCCTTTACACAGTTATAATTTTTTCATATGCAGCTTTTAGAAACATATGTTCTTTTTCAGATGCACTTCTCACAAGAAAATGACATTTTCTTTGGATTTTTTTTTTTAACAGAGAAAGGGTGTGGTAATGGACTTCTTTTAGTCTTGTCAATTCAAATGTTTCAGAATCTGTTTTGATGGATGTACTGACATAGAAATCTACGGTGACTTTCTTCTGATCCTTCACTTCCACAAGAGAATCATACGTGGGATGAAAAGTAACTTGTGATGACAAGATTTTAATTATTAACTTTTCCTTCAAAAATCTTATTTATGAGACCAATTTTTTAGGTTCCTATTAGTGATATTAAGACTAAATAATTTTTTTTCTTATTCCCTTAGAGGAGAAGGATGTTAGCTGCTGACTTTGTTAAGTTTTAATGTCAGGTTACTGTGCAAACACTGGATACAATTAGAGTGACCTGAAAAGGAGCCAAATAATAACCAAGTTCAGCACACATCATTAGCAGAATGCTGCCTGATTTCTTTGGCTCCATCAAATAACAAATTGTCTCCCAAACTAAAATGCTTATAAACTGTTATTTTTTCTAATAGTTAAAATATAAACCTTGCAGTTCTGGGGTTCCTATCTAGTCTCTGGAGATGATGGAAGAATTAATTGAAGAATCCTTGTGTGTATTTCTGCAGCAAAGTTTGGCTACTTCAGTATCAGAAGGAAAACAGTTCTTGTTTTTTAACACTGGGAGTACTAGTAACAATGATTAATCCATAGCTTTGGGTTTGATACTTTTCTGTTTGAATCTACTGAATTTATTATTTGAGCCTTGTAATTTTGCATATATTTGAAACTTCGAACACTTTTTCCCTCCTGAAGTAACACTTCATAACAAAATCTTTGGGGAAGAACTGCTGCCAAAGATATTCTGGCATTCTGCTATTTTGATGCAGTTGACCTTTCTTTGATTACAAAATTGTACCTTAGGGGCTAATAACCAAAGAAAAAGAAAGCAGGACAACTGATGGTTGACTATAATAAGAACGTAATCTTGTAGAATTTAAGACAAAGCTAAACAAGAAAAAAAAACCCTAATCCTCTTTCTTGTTTGTTTGCTTGTTTTTCAGAGATAAGTCTAGAATATGTAAGTGGCTCTTGGATCCATTTGTACCGTCCAGAGTATGGACCAGTAAGTAGTATCTATTACAGGTAGTCCCCGGGTTAAGAACACCTGGGTTACAGATGTTCCATAGTTAAGAACGGAGCCTATTGTAGCAAAATTCAAGTTAAATACACAATGGTTTGAGT